TAGATAGATAGATGATAGATAGGTAGATAGATAGATGATAGATAGGTAGATAGATGATAACTAGATAGATAGATAGATGATAGATAGATAGGTAGGTAGGTAGATGGATAGATAGATGGATAGATATGTAGATAGATAGATGATAGATTGATAGATAGATGATACATAGGTAGATGATAGATACATAGATAGATGATAGGTAGGTAGATAGATGATAGATAGGTACATAGATAGATGATAGATAGGTAGATAGATGATAACTAGATAGATAGATAGATGATAGATAGATAGGTAGGTAGGTAGATGGATAGATAGATGATAGTCAGATAGATAGACAGACAAACACTGCCATCCAGTGGATGCTGATTCACCCTGCAGGGCTGTCCGTCTTTACAGAGGCGGGCGACCTCATCGTCACACCTGGGAGCACTTGTGGGTTCGAACCAATGCCTTTGCAGACAGCAGTTCCGACACTGGGCTCGCCGCTGGCCCAAGGCGCTTTCCATGAAGACAGGCGGCCTCGTACACTGCACGGGGCGGCGCTTCCCTGTCCTACTGGCTCGCAGAAATCGCACCGACTGGACAGCAGTGAGTTCAAAGTGCACGACTGCTGTGCTGCCGGCCCAGTTAAGGGCTGGACTGCAAGGTCACAAGTTTGAGCCCAGTCACCGCTCCGAGGGAGACATGAGGCCGTCTGCTCGCGTCAAGACTTAGACTGGGAAACCCACAGGGGCAGCTCAACCCCGTCCTGCCAGGTCGCTGTGAGTCGGCATCGGCTCAATGGGAACGCACACACCTGTCCTGGGGCACCTGACCGCCCGCCAGCTGGACCACCGTGGGGAAGATGTCCATCAGGCTGGTGGGCTCGTGGATCACGCGGCCGGCGGGCAGCACCCCGGGCCAGCGGAAGATGCCGGGCACGCGGATGCCCCCTTCCCAGCCAGCCATGCCTTTGCCACCTGTTGGGGCACAACACAGATAGGCAAACGCAACGAGACAGCACGCTCGGGGTTTACAAGAGCGGGCACGGGGCTTCCCACCGAGGGACCCCCATTTCCTGCTTTGATTTCTGATCGGGGATCAATGCACAGGGCACCCACGGTCTTGGTCCTTTTGATGTTTGGGCTGAAGGAACTGGTTGCTCTTGGGTGGCGGTGGGTGTAGACGACGCGGGTGTCACCGAGTGATTTTAACGCCTGCTACGAATGTATACGACGGACCCCGCCAGGTGCACGGGTGAAGCGCTCAGCAGCGGTTCAAACCCACCCACCGCTCCGTGGGACGAAAACGAGGCTGCCAGCTGCCGTAAAGCGTCCAAGTGTCGTAAAGCGTTCACGTGCCGTAAAGCGCGCCAGCGTCGTAACCCGCAGGGGCGGCTCTGCTCTGTCGTAACGTTGTCGTGAGGCGGGGGCGGTTCTTTCTTTCCTTTTTGGGGTGTGTGTGAAGCCCCCCTTTTCCCATGAAAGCCTGGGGATCCCGGGATCGGGGTCAAGCGGGGGTCTCCCGCCCACCTTTGTAGATCCCGTTCCAGCCGCCGCGCTGCTCCCGCGCGAGGCGCGCCTCCAGCCAGCCGCCGTGGTCCGACGTCACGTAAACCAGCGTGCCGTTGGCCACGCCCTCCGCGTCCAGCGCGTCCAGGATCCGGCCTGCGAGGGCGAGACCGCGAGGTGGCGTGTTCGGTCCCCGCGGCCGGCTGGAGAACAGGGCATCCCACCCCGAAGGGGTCTGGGCCACGCGCAATCATCAGCAATGCCATCCAAAAAATAAAATAAATGCAAGTCTGCATATGCCGGGAAAAAAACCTGGGATCTGGCGCCCCAGGGGCCCCTCCCGGCGCATGGAGAGGATGGTGGCAGAAGAAACACCCTAATAATTATGCAAGGTCAGCAGTTCAAAGCCACCATAGGGACCATAAGTGGCCTTATGATAAATGGTGACAAGATGGACGTTGATAAGGGTTCGTTCTCGCTTGGCTATTCGGTC